GGACACTATTGCATTAGGGTGCCTGTCCTACTCCAATATGACTCATCTTGACTAATGATATCTGCAACAACCTATTTCCAAAGGTCATAGTCTGAGGTACTAGGGGTTAGGACTTCAGCATATCTTCACACCTCATCAGTGCCTGTAAAATCAGGATTTTAGATTAGATGCAGTTGGCCATTTTTCAGGTTATACAGCCCTTTGAGAAGAGGATGTAAAGTATATACCCTCGGCCCTGGGAAATGCACACGTACATGATATTTTGCACAGTATCAGCATGATCACTGGCCCTTTGAAGCCCTACACTGAACGCCTAGGAGGATGCGGTCACTGGAGGAAGGCTCTTTTAGTTTCCCCAAGCGCACCATTCTTTGAGCTATAAATATATCACCTATAAATATATCGGCTTGAAGAGAATATATGTAATGCCCAGAGCCTCACACTGTGGTGTTCAGTTAGACTTTTTTTGAATGAATGGGCTTGAAACTACTACATGTAATAAACATCACCACTCTGGATGCTCTAGGCAGGGCACCTGCTAGAATCAGAATCCACTGAAATGGAATAAAAACTTGACACTAAAGTTCTAACTGGAACACTGAGGCTGGCGAACTGTCCATCTTCTTCTTGTCTTTGACCATGGCCCAAAATGTAAGCTCGTTTACTAGTCCCATCCTCCCATGCATTTGACCCAATCCTGTTCAGAGTCCTCCTCCTGCTACTCCTCTCCCTCTCCCATCTTTTCCTCTGGGGAGTAATGCCTGTGCCTCTGGGCCCAGCCTTCCTGGAGTTACCACTGCCTGGGCATCCTCCAGCAGGGGGGCAGAGGATGCCACCTTGCTACCATGATTCTTGGTCAAGTGTCCACAGAGGACCAAACAAAAATCCCAGTTGCCTCACAATATCTTGATCTCCTTAATGACTTACTTTCCCCTAAACTAACTTCGACTGTTCTGGCCGTACCCAGAACTGCTCCATGTCCTCTTGTTTGACCACACCTCTGGTGCTTTTCAATCTCATACCCTACTTTAAATCCCTTCACACTCTGATTTTCCCATCGTCTTTTCCTGGCCGTGCCTTCCTCCCCCACACATCCCAAACCACCCTCATAAAATGCGCTCAACACCCTCCATCCTTCTGCTTCCCTTCAGGTCTACCTAATGATTTGGACCTGGGCGTCGCTTGGAGCCTAGATCATGAGCTGCTTTCTTTGTATCTGCCTGGACTGCTGAGCATGCCTTGTAAAATCATAATGTTAAGTCCTGGTGCTGTTGCCCACTGTTTGTCTCTGCAGAATAGGATCTTCAACAGTTAGACCATCTTGTCCTAGTCCATGGTCAACCATCTCTCCCACACTTCCCAGGTAACTCCCCTAAAACTCCTAAAACCCTACCATGCCTCACTCACAGCAGACAACCTTGCTTTCTCCTTTATCAGACATGGGATTCCTCCACTTCCCATCCCATCTACCTGTAAACTAGCGTACTTCTGAAACCTGCCTAGTACATTCTTCCTGGATCAGCACCAGCTTTTATTCCTGCTCCCCAGTCAGTCTGCTACAGGATTCCTGACTTCATTCCACTGTCTCTAAGCCCTTATTTCTTCAATTATTTCACTCAAAAAATATTTGTCAAGATCGCGATGTACTGGGCCCTGTTCTGGATGCCAGGATATAGCAGGGAAACCAAGACAGACAAAATCTGGTCTCTTGTTGTGGGGTAGGGGAGTGGGTGTGAACAACAATAAACAAGTAAAAAACCTCAAGTAAACAGGATAATTTATCTTTTCATAGATCTCATCAATGGAGCGGGGAAAAACTAGTATTGATCCTTTATAGAACTTAAGACCAAGTGAGAAGTAAACCCTTGGTTGGTTCTCCCCCATCTCCAGTGAACCCTGATCTCATCCTAAAGATACCCATCCACCCTTCCTTGCCTCTGCACTGATCCCTAGTTACATCTTTCTTCTCCTCTGCTCCGCTTTCTTTAAAGATTATTCTACACATGCTATCTCCACATTCTTTCCTTTTCATTTAATTGACTTTTCAGTTGAAACTATAGTTTATACAGAAGACAAGAGGAATGACAACAAAACTGTAGGAAAAGCTATTATACTTAACCGTCCAGTCACTCCTCAACCCATCATAATCCAGCCTCTGCTTTACCACTCCACTAAACCATTCTGGCAAAGGTATTTGATGACTGTCCCTCCAGAGGGCCAAGTCTGAATGGACATTTCCTGCCTGACCTTTTTATACCTCAGTATTCCCAACCCACATGACTTCCCTTGGCTCAGATAATACAGTCCTATGAGGTTACAACACAAGCCCTTCCTTCTCTGGTGCCTTAAACACTGAGGTCAACTTCAGAGTTCCATCTTTGCCCATCTTCTTTTTCTGTAAGCACCCGCCTTAGATAGGCTGAGTGTGTAATTCTTATCATCCTAATGGGATGCCTTTGAGAGTGAAAGAGGGAAGTATTAATAATTACCACTCTTGACTAGCAGGTGTAAATCAAGACTGCCCCAAACAAATCAGGATATATGGTTACCCTTTTCTTAGGGGTCACATCTACTCTTATGGTTTTAACTAACACATACCTATTAACCATTTGCAAAACTGAATCTGTAGCCCTGATTGTGACATTGAGCTTTATTTTCCAAATCTTCAGGTTGTGATTTCTCACAGATCTCAAGTTCAGTAGGGCCAAAACATAATCATTTCCATTCCTAAAACCTGCTAATCCTTGCATTTCCTATCCAAGTTATGCATATTACCCAGCCACTCAACTCTCCAAGCTGGAGATCATTTTAGACTTCCTGTTCTCCCTCACCCATCATATTTATGCACCAAGACATACTGACTTTAGTTTTGAGGATTTCTCTAATCTACAGTTTTCCCCTTGGACTTCTGTCTTACCTTTTATCTTACTTGCTTGCTCTACTCTTGTCTCCCTTAAGTCTGTTTTCCACAGGGCTACCAGAGTGATCTAACACTGGCTGTACTTTTGCTGTGAACCTTTCAGGAGCTTCCTAATATTTATCGGATAAAGACATCCATCATGATCCTATTCCTGTTCACTTTCTTTGGTCTCATAACCTGCTGGGTCTCCCTTTGCACTCTAATACCAAATGCCTATATACACATATAGGCAACTTGGGGCTCAATCCCAAGACCATGAGATCGTGGCCTGAGCTGAATGCAGACGCTCAACCAACTGAGCCACCCAGGTGCCCCTCACTGCCCCTCCTTTAAATTTTCATATTACCTATCCATACCTCAACCACAGCACTGGATATGTTAGCTTAAAATTGATTATGTCACTCTTTCCTACTATTGTAAAACTTCTTGAGCATAGGGGCAATGGCCCTTAATATTTAATAGTCATCCTATTTTTAGGAGCTCTCATCCACGGTTCTGGATTCAACCAGGCAAATTAAAATAAACTAGTCTAAATATTGAAATGAATACACAACTTCGTTATCCTTGCATTTTTCCACATCTGCCCATAGATTTTATAACATCAATAGATGGACTGAAAATGTGTAAGGACTTCAGTTACCAAAAATTTGCCTTTTTTACGAAATTAATGAAATCTTAGCATAGCAAACAGGATTAAATTAAAAAAAAAATCTAGTTGTGATATACCAAAGTTAAGAAAAGAGCAAATACTCCATTGTTTAAGATTAAAGAAAATCAGAATACATTTCGACAGTTGTTTGAATTGGAAAATTCTGTGGAAAGATTATCCTAAACCACTTTTTTAATAAAAGAGGCTAATCATTCCTTTTTTATTATTTACATTAAAAATTCACACTACTTTAAAATGAGAGCTTAGTATCGAATATTCTAAAATCCAGTATCCATCAAATCTACCCAAACATCTTTCTCTACTTTCCAGATGTTAGCTCTTATGATTTCCATGTTCTTATATGATTAGCTCTGACTCAGAAAGAAGGAACTTTTCACTTAGTCTGTCAAAACCCAAACTATTTGACCTTCGAGGCACAGAAAAAACCCACAATTTTTGGATAAAATGTGGTGCTCCTGTCACTTGTTCATTCAAGTAATTTTGAGGGCATTAAAAAAGTATAATCTAAAATTTTAAAGAATATTATTAGCGTCACCAGAGGCACAACAAGAGCATCTGGTGCCACTGGTATTCAGTGAACAAATAAAGAGAACCACACAGCAGTGTAACAGTCAAGATTATGAATGATTCCAAACAGTTCATGTTCTGACAAAGTCCTACTCCTAAGAGGTTTTTTTTCTTATTTCCTATTTAATCATCACTTTGTGCAATCTTCCTAATTATATTTTGGCTTACAAATCTTGTTTTGTGAACAGTGATTATTTTTTTGAGAAGGAAAACAATTTGAGGTATTTCAAAATTTAAAACATGCTCTGGTATTTTCTTCAAGCTGAAGATTATCAGAGTACTCCAGACAGGCACCGGCTTCCCAGCTATGGCAAGCATCCTAAGGTAGATCTCATGAGATAGGAATACGTCTACCATTTGGCAATCTACTGAGAAATACATTTGGCCAAAATATAACTGAGAAGAAGTTAAAATATCTTTAAATGTAATATTTATTTTTTATTGGCAAGTTGTTGATACTATAAAAATAGCTCCAATCTCCTGATAAATATCTTTGAGTACTCCCTACCTGTCAGAAGGTGGAGCTCTAAACATATCTGAAATACGGGCTTTTTATTTGTGCATTTCACAAATTTGTGTAATGAGGAGATTAAAGCAGGAGTAAAGTCTTTAGAAAAATGGCTCTGAAGAATAGTCTAATTCTCTCAGGACAAAATCACCCACATCTCCCAATAGGTACATAGTTAACTAACAAAAAAGATATTAATATGCTCAATATATTACCTACTATAAAAATGCAGGCACAGTAATTCAGAATAAAAGAACAAGTATACTTAAAAGATAAAATACATTCAAAAAATCAGGACCACCTACTTGGATGTAGGCAAGGTCATTAACACTTACAAGCATCTCGGATGTAGAGTAACATGGCTATGAAGATATAATCAACTAAACTCAGGCTGAGGCCATCTGCAAACAAGGCATCCCAGACCACCAGAAGATCCTGCAGGGGGAACTCTCGTCCAAACAGTAGCCGGACCCATCGTCTGGAAAGAAACAACACCAAAATTCAGAAATGTGTACTTCTGGAAGTAATATAAAGAGGAATCATTTTCTTCTATACTTGTGAAAAAAACAATAATTTTTAATTGATCACACAAGGCAAATACTATACATCAAATATATAATACAGTAAAATCCAAGTTTTAAGCTTTCAAATGAATTTTATAATTTTATAACTGGGCCACAATCGTTGAAGTTTATTTCTATACATATAAAACACTACCATGATATTTTTAAAAGGTAGAAATCTTTCATATTTAATACAAATCCCAAATCTCAAAAGGCAAAGAGGAAAATGAATGCAGAGCGGTCTGACAGTTGCCTCATAGGTAAGGTTAGGAATTTAAAAAATAGAATTTTCTAAAATTTTATGATCACTACTGATTTGGGTGTTGTTGTTGTTATTAACTGAACTTTTGCAAATAATTGTACAGCAATTAACTATAACCAAGTAGAAACCTGCATTCGCACATTTCACTCTTATTTTAAAATATTCATTTTAAAATTAAATGTTGTTTAAAAAATATATATATATAGTCACAGACAGCTATTTCAAATGAAACAAATAGTAATACTTTATTTTTAACTTTAGAATAGATACACCTTTTTAGTGAAGTTATCTTTTTAGGGCTGTTTATAAGAAGAGTCACTTCTATGGCCAGGAAAATGAGTATCTGTGCTGTAAGCACATCTGGGTAGCTTATAAGAATACTGAACAAGATCTGCATATAATTATATGTCATAAACAGCTATACTTCAAACTTTCAACAAACGCTAAAGTACTCATAAATAATTCTTAGAAGAAAATTAAAATAATTCACTTTGATATCCATTTTTTATCCACTTACATCTAATTGTATATAACATGGCTACAATTTCCTTACACAAACCTTTCTACAGGAATTTCAGCTTGAATTCTATGTGGTTCTGGCACATAACAAAGAATCAAAAATTCCAAATTTCTAGTATACTAAGTAGCACAGAAGAGAGGGAATTCTTGAAAAAATTAGTTAAAACAGATTACCTCCTCACAAAATTAGAAACCAAATATAACCATCTGTGGGGTTAAAGTGAGCACCAACCACTCCCCCACCCCCGTCCTGAATTCAAATACTTTCTTCAGGGAGTATCATATTTAAGGAGAAATCAAAGCTGTGATAATGTAGTGTAGAATTACACAAATGTATCACAGTTATTAGGAACCATATACCATACAATCAAATACTAAAGTTCTTTCATTCACATTATCAAATTAATCAATAGAATAATTAAACTCTATTTTCAATTACATCTTAAATTATGAAACTCAATTTTTCAGGAAAAAGATTGAATGCCTAAGTAACATTTATCTTTTTAAAAATGTTACAGTATCATTTACAATTTTTATTTATCTTTCAATTCTTATTCTACTTCCACTATGAGAGGTGACTAAAATAAATTATTTTTTTGGTTTAATATTGCCTGCAGTTATGTAATTCAGGGAAAAACATTCTTTCTCCACACATTTTTAATTCTTTCAAATTACAAATGCCAATATTTACTATTCTAAGCTCCAAAATATCTCTAAATTACATAGTTTGTTCTTCTTAATGACAAAGAATTAACTGGTCTTGCAAGGAGTATCAGGGGAAGCACAGAATGGGCAAATCCAAAAGTAGCTGGATTAAACCATTTTAGGCATCTGTTTAAAGAATCTTTAAACTTATAATTGTATCTGCATTATTAAATGACTAGAACAGAATGTGGTCATTTACAGTTATTCAACTGATTCAACTGGAAGAAAAATTCATCAAAAAAATTACATTTAATATAAAACATGCTGACTGTGGTTGGTAACACTGTATTGATAATTGAAATTTGCCAAGAGAACTAAAATATTCCTACCATAAATGAATGAATGAATGAAAGAATGAATAAAGAAAATGTGTGAGGTGATGTATATTATATGCTAATTAACAAGATGAAAGGAATCCTTTCACAATGCATACATGTAGCAAATCATTACAATGTACACTTTAAATAGCTTACAATTTTATGTCAATTATATTTCAATAAAGCTGAAAAATAATATAATTAAGAATTATCTTGGTTGGGGTGCCTGGGTGGCTTAGTGGGTTAAGTGTCTGTCTTTGGCTCAGGTCCCAATTCCAGGGTCCTGGGTTCGAGTGCCATGTCCAGCTCCCTGCTTAGTGGGGAGTCCGCTTCTACCTCTCCCTCTGCCCCTCCCTCCGCCCCTCCCTCCAGCTTGTTCTCTCTCTCCCCATCCCCCAAATAAATAAATAAAATCTTTTAAAAAAAGAATTATCTTGGTTTAATGGACAGGCAAATTTTGGCAGTTTCAAAATAGAAAATTCCGACATTTAACTGATACTTCCTGGTTCAAATCTGGATGTCAGTACAAAATTGAAGAATTACACCTACATAATGGTAGCTACACACTTGAGGTGAGCATAGCATAATGTGTAAACTTGTCGAATCACTATGTTGTCCATCTGAAACTAATGTAGCATTGTGTCAACTAAACTCAAAGAATTAAAAAAAACGAAAAAAAAGAATCATACCTATAAACTTGTACTGTGCCTTGAACTCACTCCTTTCATTCTTGGAGGTTATTTTAATACTTTCCTTATTTGAATAAGCCCACTTATGTAACTAAGGCTGGTGTTTCCTGAAGGACATTATTTTTGCTTACCCTTCTTATGTGTGGGTGGAAAATTTTCTGTTTTTCCTGCTATTTCCCATTAAAAGCAAAATGACTTTTGAAAAAAGTTACATGTCTCATGCTAAAATAGATATCATTTAGCAAAAACAAATAAAAAAAAAATGATGGTCTGATATTCGCCATAGAGAATACCATCTTTTTGCCCCTTGCTTAAAGCTCAAAGTCCTCTCATTTTCTTAGGAAAATCACAGTTTTGGTTTCATCAGAGCTAGAAAGAAAGAAAGAACGAACAGACAGAAGGGAAGAAAAAGAAAGAAAGAAAGAAAGAAAGAAAGAAAGAAAGAAAGAAAGAAAGAGGGAGGGAAAGGAAGGAAGAAAGGAAGGAAGAAAATAGGAAGGAGGGGGAGGTAGGGAGGGAAGGAAGAAAGGAAGGAAGAGAGAAAGAGGGGAGGAAGGAAGGAAAGAATGGAAAGAGGAAGAAATAAAGGAAGGAAAGAGGGAAAGAGAGAGAGGAAAGAAGGGAGAAAGGGGAAAAAAGGGAGAGAGAGGGAGGGAGGGAAGGAAAGAAGGAAGGGAGAGAGAGAGATGGAGGGAGAGAGGGGGAAGGAAGGGAGAGAGAGAGAAAAAAAAAGAGAGAGAGAGGCAAGGAGTGGGGAAGAAGGAAAGAAGAAAATACCCCCCTCCTTTTAAAGAAATTATTTCCTGTTATTTCTATAACAAAACGCCCTGTTACTGCTCAAAGTCACCCAACTTTCCTGCTGCTTGGGGTTTTTAAGCTTAGCTTCAAAAATGACCCCACAGATACCTACGTGCAGCAATCTCCACTGCAGCACTGTCAGGAGGGAGAACTGCAAATATATTGTCATCTACATTGAATAAAACATATCATCAAAACTACACACAACGTAAGTCCTCAGTACTTTTATATTTAATATGTAATCTATGATGTGCTGCTTTATAAATGTTTCACATTACTTTATTTTTGAAGTTTCACCTTGCCAAGTACACTGCTAAATAATTCCAGGGCAAAAACCAAATTCTGTGTACGTGTGTGTGTGTGTGTGTGTGTGTGAGAGAGAGAGAGAGAGAGAGAGAGACAGAGACAGAGACAGAGACAGAGAGAGACAGATGAAGAGAGACAGGAGACAGAAAAAGAGAAATATCCAGAAAGTTCTTTGTAAAGAGCTCTGTACACTTTGCTGAGTGCTCTTTGTGTTTACCGAGGTCTTGATAAACTCACTGTGAAGCCACCTGTCATGCTACTGAGAGGCAAAGGTGTAGCTAAATTGAAAGTACAGGCAGTGATCTTGTTAGAGGCAACATAAAAATAATTCAGGAAGTGGGAAAAAAAAAAAACCCAGAAACACATAAGGAAAAAAATTTATTATTAGATGCTTGGCATGTTCCTTTTATATAAGACTGTTATACATGCAAGGATATAAAATTAAAGCAAAACACAGTTTCCTGTATCTTTTATGCGATTATAGGAAAATTAAAGCCAAATTCTCAAAATATTTAAGTAGTACTGTATGACTAATGGAAAGCTTTGGGACCAACAATGACCTTATCAATAATTTAATCATTTTAATCCCTACTGGATTTAGTTCATACATATATTCACCACACACAAAATTTCCTGTGCTATTTTGGGCTTTCTTCATTGAGCTTAAAAGCCAAGGAAAAATTCCGTTCTTTATGGAATGAGTTACCAGCAGAAATTATTTCAGTAAGCTTTTGTATTCTTAGAAAGGAAAACTTACTCGAAGAAATGAGGTCTTAGAAAGAAGTCACTCCTAAAATTAACATGCTTTTATTGCAGTTAAAAATATTTAGCGCAAGTTTAACTTACACTTAAGGGTAGCATTAAGGCTTTCTTTTCCCCTTCAAGATAGCTTCAGTTTAATTGCTTCATACTATTAATCTTGCTTTATGTATGTTACACCTGCAGATTGCAATGCTCATAACCGTACACATTTTATCACTTGTGATAATACAATAATTCATATTTTACCAGACCTACTTAGTAATTAAAATCTACACAAACAAAAAAAGACCATCTGAGGTATTAAATTTAATAATAAACCACCCAAAGACAGGACTGTTTCTATGTCTGCAGTTATACCACTATTCTCAATTTAAAATTTCTGTGTAATTAAGCTGCTATCCCCAGGGGATCAGTAACTCCTGATGGTATTATTGCTTGGTGAATGACCCGTGGAAACACCAAGAGAAATCCATTTTTTCTAGTAGTTTATGACAATGACCAATTTGAGGTTCATACTTCATCCAACATGGCTGTAGTAGGTTATACATGCAGAAAGA